TAAAAACAATGTAAATTTAATGAAAAGTAAATATTTAAATTTATATTCCCGGGCTGAAAGTGTTTAACGATATAAAAGTTTTAATTTTTCAATAAAGGATAACTAATTATATTTCAAAATTGACGTGAAAAAACTTTGACGTAAAACTGTAAGAATTGACGTAAAAGCTTTTAAAGGTAGAATAACTAAATTTTAAATCTTAACGTAAGTGTATAAGAGTTAACTTAACAAGTCAATTAAGTAAAAACAATGTAAATTTAATGAAAGCAAATATTTAAATTTTTATTCTCGGGTTGAAAGTGTTTAACGATATAAAAATTTTAATTTTCAATAAAAGATAACTAATTATAATTTAAAATTGACGTGAAAAAATCTTTACGTAAAACTGTAAGTATTGACATAAAAGCTTGTGAAAGTGGAGTAACTAAATTTTAGATCTTAACGTAAGCATGTAAGAGTTAACATAAGAAGTCAATTAAGTAAAAATAATATAAATTTAATGAAAAGTAAATATTTAAATTTATATTCTCGGGCTAAAAGTGTTTAACGATATAAAAATTTTAATTTTTAAATAAATGATAATAAGGATTAAACTAATTATAATTCAAAATTGACGTGAAAAAGTATTGATGTAAAATTGTAAGAATTGACGTAAAAACTTATAAAGGTGGAATAACTAAATTTTAAATCTTAACAAAAATGTGTGAGAGTTAACGTAATAAGTCAATTAAGTAAAAAATTTAATTTTATTGAAAAAATATTTAAATTTATATTCTTAGATAAATTTTAATTTTTAAATAAAAATAATTATAGTTTAAAATTGAAATAGATAAGCGTTGACGTAAAACTGTAAGAATTGACGTAAAAACTTATAAAGATGGAATAACTAAATTTTAAATCTTAACGTAAATATGTGAGAGTTAACGTAATAAGTTAATTAAGTACAAAAGTCTAATTTTAATGAAAAATAAATATTTATATTTATATTATAGAGCTAAAAGTATGTAACGATATATAAATTTTAATTTTTTAAATAAAAATAAAAATAATTATAGTATAAAATTGATAAAAATAAGTTTTAACGTAAAACTGTAAGAATTGACATAAAAATTTATAAAAGTAGAATAAATAAATTTTAAATCTTAACGTAAACGTATAAGAATTAACGTAACAAGTCTATTAAGTAAAAAAAATTTAATTTTACTGAAAAATAAATATTTAAATATATATTATCAGACTAAAAGTGGTTAACGATATATAAATTTTATTTTTTAAATAAAAAATAATAAAAATAATTATAGTTTAAAATTGACTTAGATAAATCTTGACGTAAAAGTATAACAGTTGATGTAAAAACTTATAAAGGTGAAATAATTAAATTTTAAATCTTAACGTAAATATGTGAGAGTTAACGCAACAAACCAATTGAGTAAAAAAAAATTCTAATTTTAATGAAAAATAAATATTTAAATATATTTTCTTCTGCTAAATGTA